GGGAACTCTTTGAGGGCTACTTACAGTTTTCTTTGTTGGCTACCCAGGATTTTACATCTTGAGACAGACAATTCAGTTATTGATTTATGATGCAAATCAGAGCTGTCTATTCCTCACCAAGGGAAGAGGAGCTCCTGTCAGTGCTGAGACTGGCACCTTGGCAGTTGAGGAGACTTGCCTCTCTGAAGAAGGGGATGAAGGGCTGCCCAGTAGCATCCCCTGGAGCTAATCTAGATGCTCGATTCCAGTTGCCCATCAGGGGTGTTCTCAGGTTGCCAGAGGCAGATGCTGATTTGCTGTGGTCACTCACAGTGACTGTTTCCCAGAGACATCCAAGGGAGCTGCTATTGCCCCATAAGGACCATAAAGCATCCTCCATATGGACTGGAAAAATGATAGTTTCATTTTTTATCATCCTCTGTGGAAAAGATGGTTGAGCTTCTTGAATCAATTCTTAGATGCCACGGCTGACACTTAACTGAGTTTCTTAAAAAATGCATATGCATTTTAGGAATTAATAGAGGGATCATCACCATCATAGAATCATCATAAAATGGTTTGGGTTGGAAGGGAGCTTAAAGCTCATGCAAATCCAACCCCCTGCCACGGGCAGGGACACCTTCCACTAGAGCAGGTTGCTCCAAGACCCTGTGTCCAAGCTAGCCTTGAACACTGCCAGGGATGGGGCAGCCACAGCTTCTCTGGGCACCCTGTGCCAGCACCTCAGCACCCTCACAGGGAAGAACTTTCCCTAATACCTAATCCTTACTATCTTACTAAATGCTTCTGGTCCTTACTCCTTTAGAAAAAAAAATGTGAAGCCCTAAAAACCCTGTGTGTCCACATGTCTTCCCCTGGACTGCAAAGACATCAGGAGCACTGATTTTACATCTGCCAGCAAAACATCTCATTCTTTCTGCTGATTATTTTATCCCATCACTCCTCCAGCTGTGCTAAGAAATTTGGTATTGTGGTCTGGCACTGCAGAGCACTGCGAATCCTTTATTCCCCAATGGAGTTTTCTAGTAAATAGCTTTGAATTCAAATTCTTGTCTCTACAAAAGCTACGCTTCCACCTAACTGGCACTTCACAATTAACAGCATTATCTTGTTAAACCTGAAGAAGTGCAGGAAGGCTCAGCCATCCTTGTAAAGCATTTTATTGCTTAGAAAGTGTTTACAATAGGCTACAGAAGTGGTAAATGAAGCCCAGTGCTGCATTCAGATGCCTGATTAGCTCAACCACATGAAAATGCCAATAATTCAGGGTCTGACTATTTTGGATGCCATTTCTTAAGCAAGTACCCTCAAAGCACCTGAGGTTTTTAGAGGAAAAGGAAGGAAAGGGAAGGGGAAAAGCGAGGGGGAAGGGGAAGAGAAGAAGGGGAAGGGAAAGAAAAAGGAAAAGGGAAAGGGAAAGGGAAAGGGAAAGGGAAAGAAAAAGGGGAAGCGAAAGGGAAAAGGAAAGAGAAAGGGAAAGGCAAAAAGAAAGGGAAAGGGAAAGGGAAAGGGAAAGTATTTGGGGTGAAATGAAAAGCCAGTTAGAACCAGAAGACAATAGTTCCTGTTCATATAGACACAGGTGTAACTGTCCTCAATGAAGACGTACTTCACTTCCATTCAGAAGCAAGGCTGTGAGAATAAGTGATGCAATAGAGTATTCTGTGTTTTCAGGAGAGAGAAACCTCTATTGTTTCCCTTCAGGAACAATGAATGTGTTCAAGTTATGTCAGCCACTGTTTTAAGTGCTTGCATTTCACACACACAAGTGTCTCCATCTCTGTGTAACCTTTTATCTGTCAGCTCCTGTAGTGTGTAAGCAGCATTAGTCGGGAAGAAAACAAACAGTTTGGATGTTTGGATGTTTTCTGTGACTTGCTGTGTAAATGTAGCTTTCCTGGAGCCAGGCTGGAAGTTCTTGGTGTCTTAGCTACCCTGCATGACTACAGCCCTACACCTGCCTGAAACACAGAGGGACTAGCACAGGAGTCACAGGCTACTACACAACACATGTCGAAAGATGGTGACCTCCTGGGGAAACATTTCACTCTCTAAGGCTTTCAAGAGAGAAATGTCTGTATAGCAATGTAGCCCTATTCCATGAACTTATCAACTGCAAACGCCAAGGAGAGGTGATAAAAGTGTACAACAGGCTCCTTACTACCTAGGTTACAACTTTCAAAAATAGATTTCATAACTTATAAATAAGGTAATAAATGGTAGATAAAATAACCCAAAATATGTGATGGACACCAAGTTGAACATGAGCTAGAAATGTGCCCTTCTGGCAATGAAGGCCACCAGCATGCTAGACTGCATTTGGAGGAGTGCTGCTGGTCAAGTACCTCTGCTCAGTACTGGTGAGAAACATCTGTAGTGCTGGAACCAGTGATGGGCTCTCCAGTACAGGAGAGACACAGATAACTCTGGAGTTGAAGCCAGATGATACAGTTAAGACCTAAAGTATATTGTGGGTTTTGGTAATGAAGACTAAAAATGCTGCAGCTATTTCTTTTAGACATGTATCAGACTTCCTATCGCATACACTCTTATAAAATCTTATTACTTGAAAGGTCTGTTTGAACTCCAGAAACAGTTAAAACCTAAGGCAGAAATTGATGTGTGGGATTCTGTATCATGTTTGCTGGAAACTAGATGAAAAGAGTCCCATCTGATCCCGTATTTCTGAAAATCCCTGTGGACAGTTACAGGCATTCCAGAAATACGCAGTGCCTTATTTGTCCCACCCATCCTCTGGTCCAGTTTTCAAGTTAAAATGAAATTAGACTATGTGGAGGAACAGAAACTGAAGTAAAGTGACGAAAGTGGTTACTGCTGTCTAAAAGTAACCAGGAGTGGAGGATCTGAAGGAACATTCTAACTTAGGCAACCTGTAGGGCACCTATTCAAGGGCATTTTAGGTATCTACATGAACCTGGTCTCATTGCAAGGTTTGTTCATCACATACTGCTATCCAGATTAATGCCATTTTTGTGTTTCAGCTGTCCATGTATATAATGAGTGCCTATTTTCTAGATGGAGAAGTAAGCCAATGTGTCCAGTCTATTGTCATCTGAATAAATAATCTCTGGTTTTAATCCTGACTGTACACAGGCGTTCAACATACTGTGCAGGGAGATGAGTTTCCAGTGAGATAAAGCAGCAGCCAACATGGAATTATCAGAAACAAATCATGTCAAGCTAATCTTAGTTTTATTTTTTACTGTGCTTTGTGGCCATGGATTAATAGTTGATACAGAGGAACATGACCTTACCAAGATTTTCAGCAGTTTATAGGAAAATAATATGAGACTAATCTGAGAAGCATGTTATTAATGAACTTCTATGGGGTAGATGCCATAATAGCTGACTAAACATAAAAGGTAACTAAATATCAGAAGGATGAACTGATGTGGTTCTGCTTTTAGTTTTTTTTCTTTTACAGGTGGAAAGGAATTTGATTATTAAATTTGCAGATGATATGAAGCTTGGATGACCAGGAGTCTGTTAGAGGGTGGGACTAGAATTTAAAATGTTCTTGACAAATCAGAGAAATAGAATGAAAATAAATTCATTAAATGGAGAAAAATGCCACACACTGGACTGAAACAGGAATACTAAAAAGCCTTTTATTTGTTAAAGACCCATTGGACAGGCAGCATGTCTTTGAAAAAGCAATAAGGAATGGCAGAGGTTCACAGACTTTACATGAACCAGAAAAGAAAAGATCATGCAAGTTTCTGTGAAGAAGAGTAGGTGATTGGGAAAAATCTATTCACTCGGCTCTATACTGGCAAGCTCTCTTCCCAGAAACATATTTCAGATTGTATTCCAGATTTGAGGAAGATCAAGGTCAACTGGAGAGAGCACAGGATAATGGAATAACAATCATCAAAGACAAAGCAAGTTTTATAGGGGAACATAAATGTATGACATTGTCGATCTTGAAGAATAAAATTAAGGCAACACATAGTAAAAGCTTTGTCAAAAAGAGCTATTGCAGAAACAAGGGGAATTTTTTTTATGTCCCTCCTGGACAGGAAAGAAACAATTGGCCTAAAAGATAGTAAGAAAGACCTAATGAAACAGATCTTCTGGGGAAAAAGTGAAACATCAGTGACAGGGTTTTAAGAATAGCAGAGTAGATATCAAACTAGCCCATTCTGCACTGGGAGAGCATGACATGCTTGGAATCTCTTCTCACCCTGCGTTACTACAGTTCCATAATGGGTTGTTAAGATTCAGTCAAAGAGTTCGCTCCTTGTTGAAGGCTTGTCTAGAAACTAAAGATGACAGAGGTTTATCAGGAGTTGCTTATGTAATGGTTTTATTACAGTGAGGAAGTTGTTTTCCAACCCAAAGGGTAGTTACTAACCACAATGGTAGCAGTCATTCTGCCATTGATCATTCTTACTTTGCAGCACAATGCATTTAATACTGAATGCATCAGGTCTAACAGCATTCTCACTTCTCAGGGATGGAAATGTGCAACTATTTAACTTCACCTCCCTCATTTATGAGGCCACTTATTTCATCTTTCCCTGTACTCACACTGGACGTTGTGAGGTTGTGGTCACAGAGGAAGAGTCTGTGTTTCATGTAGTTGGGGCTAATGTCCTGTAAACCTTCATGCTGGATGGAGATGAAGTGGTGGAAGGGGCTGTGAGATTCCAGTGGCTCCCAGGAACATACCATTGATGTTGGTACACCAACGGTGGTTTGCTCCTGTCTGGACATGTTCCTCACCTTTGCAGATAACTCTAAGTTGCAGGCTCAGCACAAGGGGAGCAGTTTCCCATTATCATGCTTGTCTTGCATCTGGAAATTTGAAATGAACTACATAACAGACTCTTCTGCTTTCTTAAGCATTTTCTCCTCCTTTCTTTAATCATGTTGAGATTTCCTGTGAATGCTGTGAGCTGTAATTTTCATCTGCAGATCAGTGGCTGTGCTGGGCTCTGTTTCTTAAAGGGATTCTGTTTTTTTTCTGTGAATTTCAGATGACCAAGAGCAAAATTATAATCACCTGATACTAAACAGTGCCACCCAGACACCTACACATGGTAAGAGAAAACAAAGAGCAAAATTACACATGTTGTAACTTTCCTCTGCCAGCCAGTAGCATTTACTGGTATCGAAGAATATTTAATGTTAATAGAAATGTTCCTATGGCAATGATGCATGAATGATCGTTTCCATTAACATTAAATAGGACCATATTTTAAAATAGTGCTTACAATGAAATATGGCTCAGTCCGTTATAATTCTACCTATCACCCTTGTGTTTCTCCGTGTCTGATTGCTCTTTTCTCCCTTCCACATCAGAAAGGTGCTGTCAGATTTAACCAACAAAGACCATAAAAATGACAACCAAAGAAAAGTCCATCTTGTCAGCCAAGCCACTCAACTTACAGTGCTGCTTGTGCATATTTCTAAGATAGGTTAGAAGCACAGTGAACAGGAGGCAAGGGATCCTAAGATTACGTGATTTGGGCATAACAGGATGTGGCCAGAATTTGAGTTCACAGGTAAATCCAAGTTGTCCAGTCCATACTTGTATGGGTCCAGTTGGGATAACTTGCTGATGCCCCTGATTCACTGCACAATGTCTCTCCACTTTCTAGTATGCAAGATAGGTGAAGACCATGAAGAGATTCAGGATTCCCCCTGCCTACTTTCATAAACAGAAATGCCTCCTTCTCAACTGGTTCCAGTGGTTGCTCTCACACCCTTCCAAATTCCCTTTATTTTATTGTGGAAACATGACATATCCCTGAACCTGGGAACTTAAGAAACCCAGAGCAGCTTTCATATCCCTACACCCCCCACAGACCTATCCCCATAGCCTCAGAAGTGACACCTCAGGAGATGTCTGGGGTAGCCTGTCACTGTGTAACCTGTCTGGTCATCCCTCTAAAGGGTGAGAGCAGCCCTTCAGAGCAATTCCAAAGCCTCTCTGTGTTTGGTCTTTGTACCCAAACAGCTTCGTGTGTGTTAATACCCCTTCTGACAGTGCTCCTGCTGAGCTCTGGAAAAACGCTCTTTTTATGTGCCTCACCTCTGCACATGGTTCAGCACATTTATTGGCACCTCTCTATCTAGCCCTCCTGGTCTAATAAGCTTGGGGATGCCCTATGTAATCCTTTAGCCAGTTTCGAGAGTTCAGATGCTGTTCAAAGATACTACTTGTTTTCCCCTTTGTTTCCACCCTCTCATCCCAGCCAGGAGGTGTTCCATCATTTCCTTCATGGCCAGAAACCCCACTCCTCTCTGCTCAGCCCTGTCCTCCAGCCCTTCCTCCTTCTTTTCCCTAGCTCCCTCCTTTTGATGTCCTTGGCCCACCATTAGCTGTTGAGTGTGGAAGCAAGTCCCTCCCTGCATCGCAGCAATCACAAACCACACAAATCACCTGCAGCTTCCTGGCTCCATCCAAATCCAGACTAGTCACTACCACCCAAATCAGTGATTCCCCCTGCCTCTGTGCAATCAGTCCAGCCTCTGAATGAACCCTCAGGTCCTCTCTGCTTTCTTTCCTCTTCCTCTGCTACCTTGTTTTGGTCTTGTCTTTGTTCTTCCCTGCATCCTTTACCCTCTGAATGTGATATATTCCTCCAGGATTTGTAGCTGGAACGTTCCTTCTGCTGAGGAACCCGTAAGGGATGGTTAAATCTCATCTTGATATACACTTCTTGCACCTCTGAATCTCTCTGTTACTATTTTTGTTCTGGTATTTGTTTTTAATACTGAAACTTCATCTTGATTAGTATTCTGGAATCGATTGTGTACTTGTATAGCAATTTCCGTGTTTCTTTGCTGCAAAAAAGGGTGAGAGAACAATTGCCCTTGAAAAGGTCACCTAAAACCTTTGGTGTTTCTCCTTCCTAGAGGATGGGGCAGGCAGCTTCTCAGCCTGCAAGTTACTTTCAGTTGTAAGACTACAGTATTAGGGGTTGGGTTTTTTCCCATGTCCCCCAGAACTCAGAAGAAACAACATCAGCTTTAAACCTGGCAGAAACACAGGAGTATTTATTGAACCTGAACTGACAGATTCAAATGCTCTTCAGACTACTGATTTTAGAAAGAAGAAGAAGAAGAAGAAGGTGATGTAATAGGGTTAAATTTATTGTCTTTTCTCTGGTCTTACTACTTGTTCTTCACATCTAGCACATGCTGGGTTCTGAGAACTGCCCCAGCAAAGCCAGATGAGTCCCATTTACCTGTGCCTCTGCCCGGGCATTTTAATGCAGCTCCATCATCAGATCCCTATTGCATTCAATAACTCAAAGTAACAATATGTGCTAAGACAGATAACTTCCCTCTGGCCCTGACAAATGCTTTTCTTTTTTATGTACCTGAAAGACAAAAATCAAAGGAGATATACAGAGATCTTGGATTAGAAACTTTCACCTTTTTTCCTGCACTCATTTCTTGCGTTTACTGTATCTGAATAGTTTGGTTGTACAAAGTGACTTGAATAATCTGACTACAAATAACTGTATGATTCAGACTTATACTTTATTCTTGGGTGATATTTTATTCCTAATTTATCCATATGGTCATAGATACTTTTGTTTATGATATTCATGTGTGCTGGTGCTGGTGATCCATTGCTTGGTGAGTGTAAAAAAGTTATTTGGACTTTTCAAATAAGTCATCAAAAGATTGCAGTATTCACAATTACTGTTCAGATTCTGACACAGTTCAGCAACACAACAGGTTTAATATCGTTCCCTTCCTGCGTAGGACATGGGGTATGTTTTCTTGTGATTTGTAGGCAGACATAAGCTGTCTTTTCGAGCACCATGTTCATGAGCTCTGTCCCTTTAGCCTGTCTCTATCACCCACCATGCAGTGACACCCCTGAAAGGAGCAGAAAGGGAAAGATGCCAGCATGAGGCTGAAGACATGCACATGACCTGTATTCGGTTCACTCTTAACTGGATTTAAACAACCAGAGAAAGGGTCTCAGCCTACCAGTGCAGAGCAATCAGGGCAGCAATTGTAGGTGACATGCCACAAAATGAACAACATTTCAGCCTGAACAGCCAGCAAATCCCTCCCATGGCTGCAGGATCTCTCTACAGCCTCCCCAAGTGCTGCCTGACCCAGCAAGGATGCACTTGACCTGGTATGTGTGAAGGGGAGCATGAGCTGTTGAAACTTTGAATACTTGTCAGGATGAGAGCTCAGCTGCTGTGGACTGGTGATCTCTCTCCCATCTCCTACCATCACAGGAACTTCACAGGTTTCTTACCTTCCCCTGTAATTCCCATTACAATGAGTCTACAGACTCATACAACCGTGGGACTGAGCGTTGTGGCAGACATGGGGCCCTGCAGGAGACCTCCTTGTGGAGGAGGGATGAAAGCCAAGTCCCCTGTGCTCCTTTTTCCCGTTCCTATACTGGCTAGACCTATGTAGAAGTAAAGCAAATGGCACCAACCCATTTGTTTCCCCAAAGGTCTTGGGAATCATGGTGGTACTACAGTGTGGGGCAGCCCTTCACAGTGGGTTTGTGCAGCTGCGAGATCACTGATGTGATTACACTGAACTCTTCTAATGCAGGAAGGAATAACTACTAATTAATGGTGGGATCATATATAATCTGTTCTGTCAGGCTGCTATCATTTAATTAGCATAGTGCTGTTTGCAGCACAGTTAGCACAGAGTGAAGAAGAAAGTCTCCCTTTTTTCCCCACGTGGCTAGCACAGAGGGTTTGCAGAGGGGTGAAACATGTGTCTGTCCTGAGTTTGGAAAATATGATATGTTGGGGAAGACAATTTCCAATAAAGATGAAGACAAATGACCATGGTCTGCAATACCAGAACTTCATTTCCACTGTTGTTGAGGGCTCTGCATTAGCCACCCTGACTCTGAGATTCCCACATCTGAAAGAAGTCTGTTGATCTTCTGGTGTCAGTCTATTCACGTACCTAATTCACTTCTAGGACACTGAATATCCCATTATAGAGATATCTACAGGCCTTTAGAAACCTCAGCCTGAATTCTGCTTTCAGTGACAGACTTGAGACCTCAACTCCTCCGGGTTCAGAAGGTTGATGTGGGTTTCCTGAGCTCTAGGCTTTTGTTCTCCAGCAGCTTCAGATTTCATCTGCAAATGAAGAATTCGACAGCAGGTTTTGGAAATGCAGCGATTTTGTGCGTAAAAGGTGAATGTGAGTGCTCAAGTACTGGTTTCTAAGCACAGTAAGTTTTACATATGAAAGCAGGTAAATCCTTTGATACATGAGCTTATCTCACTTAGATATTCAGTCTTTATACAAATTAAGCACATAAATTTATTTTCCTATTAAAAAAACCCAAACAAATTAAAATGTGAAAAAAAGCAAGGGGCACAAACCAGAACTGAGGCAGTGAAGCATTGGCTATAACAGGAATATATGTGGACTGCCTGGGCTTGGGTTCTGTAAAGCTTATTGCTTTATTTTTTACTGTTACTGGAGTTTAATCTCATCCTCTTTAGTGCATATTTAATTATGGTAACCAAGAGAGTCTTGTATAAACATTTTTTACATCTAGATAAATCACAAGCACATTGCTAAGTAATCTAGTTAGTAGGGAGTTCATATCATAATTTTTATGTCAGTTCATTGCATTCGATAATCATCTCAAAAATACCACTATAAGCAACAAATTGCTTCACTTCAAGGTTTTAATTTGGCCAAGTATTTTTCCATAGCTGATGCCTGGGTTTGCTCTGAGGCAATGTTATAGCTGTACCCGTGTGAACTTTAATCACATTCCCATATATTCATGCACATGAATTCTTCTGCTGCTTCTCTTATCTATTTCTCTCCTTTCTCTCTTTTCTCTCTCCTTTCCCTCTCTCTTCTCTTTTGTCTCTATTCTTTTCTTCTTTACTTCCTTCTTTCTCTTTTCTTCATTTCAAAATCCAGGGCATCTTCCTCCCTGCTCGGTAACAGGGCTTTGGGGGATATATTGCTGAAATAATTCTTGCGTCAATTTTCTAACATCAGACCAGAAGCTTCAATTTGGGGCAATCCCAGAAGATATGAAAATGATTCCCTAAACTGTGACATC